GTTCTCTGCCCTAATGACCAGCTGGGTAGGCGTGGCTCAGTGGTCATGTGACTGGGTGGGTGTGGCCAACTCAATGTCACTCACGCCGATGGGCGCTTTTGCCTTGGCTGTTACAATGTAATCAGGGTTAACTGGAGAGGCAGTTTCTGTAAGCAGGGCAACAAAGATGAGGCTAGAAACAACACCAGGATGTATCCTTCCTTTGCCTTCCTTACAGAATTAGCCCTGTAATGTGGGGAAAAAAACAAAAGGAGATTTCTTCCAACAGCCAGTTCTCCGAACTGCTTGGGAAGTTAACAACCGGTTCTCCGGGACAGGTGTGAACCTTCTGAATCTCCCCACTAGAATCAGGACAATTCAAGATACGGTAACTCAGAAACTGCTCCCTCAATTCCTGCATTGCACAGTAGGCAATTCAGGGAGGCATCGTCCCTGGCTAACACAGAACCTTTCCGAGCCATTTAGTGGATCTAAGCGTACATCATAAATAAATTATTCCTTGCCTGCTCCAGACAAAAGGGCTTTGGAAGACATGCCAGCAACTGTCTTCAAGAGAGAGGACAGGATTTAGTTGATAAAGGAGGGGTAGGAGAAAAGAAGCAGGAGGCTCATTTCCTGCCACATTTAAGAGTTTCTCGACAGTTCCAATCCTCACCTGCCTCCTCCTATTCGATCCGAGTTATTTCTAAGTAAAATAAACTCAACAGGGCTTCCGCTTAGTGTTTTCATAGTTTTTTTTTTAATTCAGGCATTCTTGGGAAACACTGAAGAAAACAGTGACAAGTTCCATCTGCCCAGATTATATGTAGAAGGACTAAGGGAGACATGATAGCAGTCATCCAATATCTCAGGGGCTGCCCCAAAGAAGAGGGAGTCAAGCTATTCTCCAAAGCACCTGAGGGCAGGAAAAGAAGCAACGGGTGGAAACTAATCAAGGAGAGATTCAACTTAGAACTAAGGAGAAATTTCCTGACAGTGAGAACAATTAATCAGTGGAACAACTTTTCCTCCAGAAGTTGTGAATGCTCCAACATTGGAAGTTTTAAAGAAGAGGTTGGATAACCATTTCTCTGAAGTGGTGTAGGGTTTCCTGTCTAAGCAGGGGATTGGACTAGAAGACCTCCAAGGTTCCTAACAACTCTGTTTTCTCTTCTCTTCTCTTCTCTTCTCTTCTCTTCTCTTCTCTTCTCTTCTCTTCTCTTCTCTTCTATTCTATTCGACTCTATTCGACTCTATTCGACTCTATCCTATTCTACTCTATTCCTATTCCTATTCCTATATCCTATTCCTATTCCTATTCCTATTCCTACTTCACCACTCCATTCCACCAGTGCACTCCACTTCGCTCCACTCTATTCCTATTTCTATTCCTATTCCTACCATACTCCTCTCCACTCCATTACAATCCATTCCATTCCATTCCACTCTACTCTACTCTACTCTACTCTACTCTACCCCTACCCCTACCCCTACCCCTATCCCTATTCCACTCCACTCTATTCTACTCTGTTCCACTCTATTCTACTCTATTCCTATTCCTATTCCTATTCCTATTCCTATTCCTATTCCTATTCCTATTCCTATTCCTATTCCTATTCCTATTCCACTCCACTCCACTCTACTCTACTCTANAACTGCAGTGATTCACTTAACAAATGGGGCAAGGAATGTCGTAAGGTGGGGCAAACAGATTTCTCATTTAGCAACATAAATTTTGGGCTCCATTGTGCTCAGAAGTTGAGAACCATCTGTATATTCCAATTCTCATCTTTGTCCTTTCCAACAGAGGAGGAAAATATTTGAAACATTTTGAAATTTCACTTTTTATGTTTGAGTGCATACACACATACACACACACAAAGATACATACACAATTTACAAAACACCCAGTTTCACCTCACAGATGTGATCAGAGATAACCTATGCATTAAACTTTGTCTTAAATAATGATTGAAGTACATCTTGGATATATTTTGTGGTAGAAATTTTGCATATAAAATGCATATCTTTTAATCCAAGATTGCAAAGTATGTCAAGTATTTTATATGTAAATTATCCCCAGATTGAAAAGTAAGCAGCATCTACTTGGAAGTAACTAAGGAACAGGAGTTGCTAGGAGCCTTTTAAGTACGTTAATGAGATTCAGGTATTGTAACCGAATTTTGAAAGCCTGTCAATTCCCTTAGCTTTAGTTTATACAAGTAAGCCTCAACCTACAACCACAATTGGGATCAGAATTTCCATTGCTAAGCAAGACAGTTGTTACTGTTAGTCACACCCAATTTTCCCACCTTTTTTGCCATGGTCGTTACGTGAATCAATCTGGTTGTAAAGTGAATCACATAGTTGTTTAGTGATTCCGACTTCCCCCTTTGACTTTGCTTGTCCGAAGCCAGCTAAGAAAGTAGCAAATGGGGATCCCATAACCCCAGGATGCTTGCAAATCAGCTTTCATAAATATGTGCTGGTTGCCAAAGCAAATTTTGATTATGTGACGTTAGTGGTGCTGCAACAATCATAAGTTGCAAATTTTTCAGTGCTGTTGTAACTTCAAACAGTCAATAAATGAATGGTGGTAAATAGAGGATTAATTACCTGTACCTAACCGAATCAAGGAGTTGTTTTCGGTTTCTCTCTTCTGCTTTCTACATTCATATGATTGAGATATCCTTTATTTTAATGGCTCCATGTTTTCCTGACATTACTTATAAAAGGTAAAGGCAAAGGTACCTCTCAAAAGTGTGCTAGTCGTTCCCGACTCTAGGGGACAGTGCTCATCTCTGTTTCAAAGCCAAAGAGCCAGCACTGTCCAAAGACATCTCCGTGTTCATGTGGCTGGCATGACTAAATGCCAAAGGTGCACGGAACGCTTTTACCAGTGGTGGCTCCTATTTTTCTACTTGCATTTTTGTGTGCTTTTGAACTCCTGGGTTGGCAGAAGCTGGGACTAGTAACGGGAGCTCACTCCGTTACGGTGGTGCTAGGGATTCGAACCATCGAACTGCCAACCTTTCTGAACGACAAGCTCAGCGTCTTTGCCACTGAGCCACCTTTTATTTAGTTTTTACTTATTTTATTTTACTTATTTTTATTTATTTGTGTATATTACTTATACACAAGACAATATAAGTAAAAGCTGAGGGCTTGGAACATCAGTTTATCAAACTCCTATGAAAGAACCTCAATATTGTTAATCTAGGATCTGTCAGAACTATGTACTTTAGCTATATGGTGTCTGTTTTTGTCTAATGCCTTTCATAAGGACAAAATCCAAATTGAGAACTGTGTTCTTACAAAGTAGGAAAAAATGATGCTGTTTGTAAAACTGGTTTTTTTTTAAAAAAAAAAATCTTCCTTTTTTGTGTAATGTGTTTAACGTCTTGATGAAGCAGGCTGCATTGGATTGGATTTCTGAACTTTGAATTTTGACCCAAATATAGTCTGTTTCTCAGAGGATTAAATACAAAAATAGCTCATAATTGAAATATTTTTATTTTAAAAAAATCTTTGTCAGCTATCCAGTTTTCAGAATAAGTGGAGCAGGGTTGTTAGCCTGCACTCTATTTATTGTGTTAATTCTCCTTAGTGAACACAAGTACTTTGGATTGTGTTTTCTTTGTCTCAGGCTCCCATAGAGTTTGTATAAGTAGTCTTTCTCTGGACCTTTTTCCATAACAAAAATAATAGTCTTTGATAAAAATGGTGTAGTCTTTCTTTGCTTCCTCTCCGGGGTGTTAAACTTTATCACGATAATATTAAGTGGCTCAAAGGAGAAACGAAAAGCAACTTAAATTAAATAGCTTGCTTTCCTTTTTGGCATTAAAGTTAAACTAAAATTTAATAGGATTGTGTTACTATAATCACATGTTTTTGCTTTGCGACATATCAGCATGCTGGTTACCAAGAGGCCTTGCTGGGACCCTATCTCAAGGGGAAAATCTTTTCCTGCAAAGAGGGTTCGGCCGGCACTCTGCATAATGTATGAACTCCCCATCAAGAAGTTTAGGGGCTGCTGATTAAATGCTATTCTTTTATTCAGGTACCTGGGCAAGGCACTGGGTGGCACTGTGAGAAAGGAAAAACTTGCAGCATAGGGGAGAGGGGAGGGTAGGATCTATTCTCCCACATGTCTTCCAGCTGACTTGTTTTTGATTTATAGCCAGACATGGTTCTTTTTTATGTTTGAACTGGAATGTCATTTAATGGAGCACATCTTTCCAGAGCAGAACAGATCATCCCATTTGACTTTGTGGTTCTGAGCACATTAGATTTCTCCTCAAATCTTCTCTTTTAAGAAAAGAAACAACCATGAAAGTTTTGACTCTGGGATACCTGCCCACCAACCTTTGCATTGATCCTATGCTCTTTCTCATCTCTACTACTTTGGTGTGATGTGGCTCTTTCCCTCCTTCTGTTATTTACAGTATCTCTTTGGCTAGATCCTCACTTAACAAGGATTTTCGGGATCACGCCGAGCAGCAGCACATAGCAGCGCAGCAGAAGGCTGCTTTACAGGTATGTTCTCCTGGTCAGTGCTGAGCCAAAGGCTTGCAGCTTCATAGAGATTGGTGGTTTTGGTGGTTAAGGACAAGGAGAATTTAGGGGGAAAATATTCCTACATTTCTCTTAATGATAGTCTCTTCCATTGAGATTCTTCCTCCATTGGGAAATACTGGAGGTTTTTTAACAAGACCCGTCACTAATTTGGGATGTTAACCACAATCTTCTGAGGTTCATATTCATCTTTCAGTCTTGTGCACCCAACCCATCTTCAGACATCCATTGCAATTCCTGTTTCAATTTCTCTGAAATGATTGTGTGATCTTTTTAAAAATGGTAAACTAGTCTAAGTGCTATATCTGTACTTGGGCACAATATCCTTTGCAATATTCCAACCATAGAAATAATGCTTAGCTCAGGTGTGTGACTTGCTTGTGCACATCCAGAAGAAACAAACAGGCCAAAACAGTTGTTGTAACATCCACATAAGCTTAAAAATCATATCACAATCTGTTCATCCCATGCCTTGGAAAGTATGGGCTACATTCAATATTACATGATGCATTTCTGATTGTGAATCAGAAAATTCCCCTTCTTCTCTCCCTCACAGTCCTGCTTTGTGCACCACAGAGTTAATCTTCCACAGCAGATTTCAGAGAGGAAGATAAGGGAAAAGACACAAAGGAGAAAATCAGATTTTCCAACAGTGCATGTTTCACTCTTCGATGGGCACAATTGAATTATTTTTAGAATTAAAATTCATGTTCCTCATAAAAGCTTCAAACAGGCATGTCCAACCCATGGCTAACGAGCCACATTGTGGCCCTGGACAGGTAATAATGTGGCCCCACAAGATAATAAAAAGATACAAGAAAAAAGTTTGTTGTTTATATACATTAACTATAGTGTATATTTTATATGTAGCCCAAGACAATGCCTCTTCATTCAGTGCGGCCCAGGCAAATCAGAAGTTGGACCATCATGGCTTAGAAACTGCTTAAATACAAAATGAATGCTCTGATTTGATTTTGGTGCTGAAATTAGAGTCTGGTCATCCTGTGTCATGTTATTTTTTATTTATTTTAGATGTGCACGTGTGTATCTGCTGGAAATCAGCTGGAATTCAAGCTATATTGGGTGCCTGACTCAGCCCAAATGCTCCTAAAGAATTTCATTAGCAAATAGACCAACGACCTTTGAGGAAAATCCCTGTCAGATTTAAATGACCAATTCTGACTTTTACTAGGCCTTGGCTGACTTTGATATCAAAACAATGAAAGTGTGTGTGTGTGTGTGAAAGCTTTTGGGTACTGAAATTTAGAGCTGAATCATTTGAAACAGTTTGGTGGCCTTCTTTAACTGGGTTGGCAGTGGGGATGGGATTTGCTTTTATTTGCCTTATGTGTATAATTTTCAAACAGGTGTATCTATTCCTTTTCCAGCACGCTCATGCCCATTCTTCAGGATATTTTATAACACAAGACTCAGCCTTTGGGAATCTCATTCTGCCTGTATTACCACGGCTAGATGTAGAGTAAGAGAAAATTCATGAAACAGAAAACATCTGGATTCATCTAAGCTGCTTTTTCAACTTTTAGGGAATCATTTGTGAAAAGAACTGAGAATTGTTCAAAATGGTTTTGATTTTGAATTCCTGATATTTTGGTTTTGGGAGACAACATAAAATGTATTCTGGAAATATGCTGCTTTTATTCTACTACATATGCATTGTATAAAGAACCTGTTTTCATTTTCTAGTACACGTGAATAAGGCTTTAAATCAGAAAATGGAGAGGGGAAGGAAGTACAGTGTCTCTGTAACAGAAAGATCTATAACTCTTACTACCCATTTATTAAATAGGTTATGCATAAATTTTACTGGTGAATTGTAATAGTTCCTAATACCATGAAAAGTAGAATGTTGGAGTTTGCAAATGAGAAATAACTACATGCATGGGACAAATGTTTCAGATAAATGTAATGTTTAATTTAACATAACTGGTTAGTTGAACTCTTTTCAAAGGCTTCCGCCATAAGACAGAATCATCTGGAAAAGTGAACAATCGCAACAGAAAGATAGGTGCAAAAAGAATATACGATTTCCCAAACCAAGATGGCTTCATCTCATGAGGTTCTGATAGTGTGATTGCCAGGGACGTTTCAAAAGATGAAGTTTGAAAGTACATATTTTAAGACAATATTCATCTAATTGTATATAACTGCCGGTTGGCAGCGTCTCATTTGTGTGAGTCTCATAGTCAGAATCTGGCATTTGTCTCTTTTCTTTTTCTTCCACGGAGGAAAACTTCATGCGCAGACAAGATTGAGACTTCAAATGGACAGATGGTCTTAGCAGTTGGAGCAAATGCTACCTGCCGAATTCTCATTTATCATGTACCTCTTAAGGGGGGAAAAAACGCTAAAGCATACACAGGAGACATTCTGGTGTAGTTTTCTCACATCTGTTTTATCATGAACATTTGTTTGTTATACACAAAGTTAGGACTACATTTATCTTATCTAGCTCCTTGGCTTTCCAGCATCTCCTCTTCTAGATGTACTGCCAGCAATGGACGACAGCGATCAGAAGTAGATTCAAGGGAGCCAAGGGACAGATGTGCTATTATTGAAGCGCCTGCTGTTTCCTCAGCTATAAGTAAAAACAACTATTACCAAAAGTGTTGATTAACAGGCACGCTCAAGTGAATGTTCGGCTGTTCTTAGTCTAGTAGCATACATTTGTACACCAAGGATTCCTAAATGTTCTGTCATCACCTCTGCCTTTAGTGTAATCTTAATACACACACCTCCAAATCAACAAGGAAAACAATGAAATGTTGGAAAAGGTGGGTTTATTGTAACAATGTAACTAAAAAAATTCTTCACACCTGGCTTGGACTCTGCATCTCCCCAAGAAAGGTGCAATTTACAGTTTGGGAAACCCTGATGTATAAGCTGGGTAGTTAATATCTCAGAAGCCTCACCAGTTTCACAGAATAAGCCAGCTAGACTGAATTTGACAGAATTTTATCATTCTTTGGCATGGGGGATTTTGATGAAAGTTGCTTCCTAAGAAATCCCAATGTAATTTGTTGAGAGCATTTATACTGTTTTTGAGTTTTCTAATGCCAAATATTCCAGCAGTCTGAATAAAGACAGTCCCAATTATAATTTCTGAAGTTTTCTTCCCCAAATTACTGCATGGTTCTTTTTTTTTTTAATATATTTTTATTTTCAAAACAAACATACAAATCCTCCTTCTTTGCATACTGTAGAAAGTGTATCAGTTGGTTACAAAAGGCTTTTGTGCATCTCTTCCACCGTCATCAAATATAATTCATATTAATTATATCTTAACTCGGATATTTATTATATTACCATCATCATACCTCCACTTTTATTTGACTATGATTATTTAAACATCCATCATAAAATATACCAAGATTTAATACATAATCACATACTGGCATTTCATTTACTTATTTATAAAATCCTCCATTAACATTAAATCCTCATATCCTATTCTAGCTAAACATCCATAATATTTAATACCAAAATTTTCTAATCCTCCTTTAAAAATCCCTGTTTACCATTTACATCCAATTCCCTTATATTATACTCATAGCATGTATATAATTTATTATCATTATCCTTTATTATCTGCAGAGTTCTTGATGATACTTGTTAGTGGAGATGATGGAGAAAACTGCCTAAAGAGTACCAAGATGTAGCCACCACCTAAAATCACTCTGACTGAGGCAGCATACAGTTCAATGAATGACTTACTACACAGTAAACAAACATGCCTTTTAAAATGCAGATTTCAATAATAATCATGCTATTTGTAAAAGTGATCCAGTTAATGTTTATTACAAGCCAGTGCATAAAATGGATATAGAAAGTCTAAACACCCTTGTTAAAATGCCAGGTTTTTGAGATGTAAAAAAATCAGACCAAGATAAATCGCTTCAGAATTTTCCCCACCTTTACTATAAACTCTACAATTCAATGAAAAAACAAAGTAAGAAATTGATGGAAAAATCTGCAGCTGAATGGGTGTTCCTTGGAATGCAAAATTACTAGAGGGCTGAATCTGTACCATGAAAAGCACTGATGTGTTAAAAGCAAAACAAAAAACCTCCACTTTGGGTGAAGGGAAGTTCTTGGCTAGCTGGCAGCTCTTCCGCAGAGATGGCAGGAGAAATAATTCATGAAAAGATTCACCACTTTTATCCGAGGGAAATGGGTGGTTAAGAAATATGAAATATAATTAAATAAATACAGGTAGTCCTTAACTTATGCCCAACATTACTGTTGCTAAACAAGAGAGTTAAGTGAGTTTTATCCCATTTTACAATGTTTCTTGCCACAATTGTTAATGAATCACTGGTTAGTAACATGGTTGCTAAGTGAATCTGGCTGCCCCATTTGCTTTGCTTGTCAGAAGGTTGCAAAAGGTAATCACATGACCCTGGGACACTGCAACCGTCATAAATGTCAGTCAGTTGCCGAGCATCTGGATTTTGATCATGTGACCATGAGGATGATGCAATGGACGTAGGTGTGAAAAACAGTCATAAGTCAGTGCCATTGTAACTGAATGGTCACTAAATGAACTGTTGTCAGTCCAGGACTACGTGTAAGCAAATTTAAATGCTCTTTTTTTATTGAAATGTCTTTTAAATGAAAAAAGTTCCCTCCTTCATCTAAGATTCACTGATTCTGGAGATCCATTTTGGTGACTGTAACCTGCTTATTGAATATTCTCTTCAACTGCCTCTTTCATTTCCCCAGGCATTCTGCTCCTGACTCTGTGAGCTGTTTTTAAATGATAAATGTTAAACCTCTACTCGGCTTTTAATTTGCTTTGCTCCTCTTTTGCATTTTCTATTAATCTTTTAATCATGCGCCTTCTGTCTTGCAAGTTTAAAACAAAATAAATGGAGGAAAGGCTTTTTAAGTATGTATCACCATCTTTCTTTGTACACTGAGCTTATCCACCAAAGACAAATTCTTTGTATCCAATCACACTTGGCCAATAAAGAATTCTATTCCTATTCTATTCCTATTCTATTCCTATTCTATTCCTATTCTATTATTCTATTCTATTTCTGTTTTTTTGGGTGGTCTGCCCTTTCATTTGCTGGGTACCCAGTAAAGGCAGATGGAGGCACCTCAAAAAAAACAAAAAAACCCCACAACTCAAGATAGAAGTGCTGCTTGTTTTGAAGCCACGTATCCTCAAGAATTTGGAACTCTTGTTGTAGACATCTTCTCATAATTTTCAACAATTGGATAAGAACAAATCTGAATCACTTAGTTCAATTTCCATCTCCTCCCCTCCTGTATTTTGACCTTATCTTTCTCCTTTTACTCTGCTTTCTATGCTTGTGAAAGAATCAAATAATCAATCCACAGGAGTAATTTTGATCAATAACAGCAACAACAAAAGCTCCCTGTCTTTCCACCACATACAGTAGTAGATTGAAAATACACTATTTCCTTGGGGAAATCTTAGCGGATGCTGAGCAGAAAAAAACATTTAATGACACATCAATATACTGAACAGCTTCATTATACGCTGAAAATAGAGGGGTGAGATGCACAATCCTTGAAAAAAAGCAACACACATTTTCTAGTTTAATGTGCTGCAGACACCTCTATCAGGCCCTGCAAAGCTGGGGGAATTACCTTATTTTTAAAAAAAGTTTTATTTAAAAAATGAATAAATCAAAAGGAAGTTAATACAATGCTTAGGCAAGCCTCAATTTCTCTATATAACTCAGCTACTTTTACAATATCAAGGAGTTGTAGCCAGTGAGTCAATTTATTATAGACTTAGACTAGGTGGGGATGTCAAACTTGCATTATCGCGTTGTATTGACTTTTTTTCTCCGCTAAACCAGGTGGACATGAGTTTAGACAGCCATATCTTAGACCAATACAAGCAACTTATCCATGAGGGCTCTCTAGTTTTATGAAAACTATCTGAAAAGGTAGTATGTTTCAGGTTGTTTCTCAAGATAGGTTTTGTCCTGGATAATTAATAAAGCTAAATGTATTAGTAGTTTGTGCCATTTACAAGCTGTCACTAAAGTTTCTCTCAGGTCACCGAGGCTTTTCACGATGTCAACCTGGCATGCGTCTGAAAGAGCACTGAAAGAGTTAATCAAAGTTATTTCTCAAGATTCAACAGCTGTATTGCTGTGAATTAGGCAAGTGGCTTGTGGAGATTTCTCCCTTACAGAGACTCTGTGCATAGTTGTCTGAGAGAAGGGAATATTACATTGTATATTAACTGCCACTGCCCTCTTGGCTCACTGAGCTAGAAGCAAGTCGTCTTTTTCAGAGTGGAAGATATGAATTGGAAAGATCAAAAAGGTGCTCAGGAAGAGTTACAATATTTAAAAAGCATACTGGGGACTATATAAGCTATCCAAATGTCAGCAGGACTCAACCACAACTGCCTCTAAGTGGGAGACAGTCTTACCTTTTATAAATCCATGAAATATCTGATGGCATAATAGCTGGCTTAAGGACTAGAACTAGATGAGGGCTAATTTTTAGATCCCCATCTGCCTCTCTTTGTCATTGCTTAAAAAGGGCATTTGCCTTTTACAAAGTTTCTCCCCACCTCATATTTCTCTGTGGGATTGCTTAACCTCTATTTTCTTCCCTGTCTTTTCCTTTTCTTAGACTGAATTCAGGAGTGAAGCCTATCTTTTCTTTGTCACTCATGTTTGTGTTTTTGGAAGCATTCAAAAGTAAGAAGCTGCATAGGTTGAATCATTCAGCATCCAATTCAAAGCTGGTGAAAAGGAGGAGGAAAAATACAACTTTCAGAGAGAACAAGATAGTGAATCTCTTTATCTTTTCATTTAACAGAATAACAGAGTTTGAAGGGACCTTGGAGGTCTTCCAGTCCAACCCCTTGGTCAAGCCAGAAACCCTATGCAATTTCAGACAAATGGTTGGCCAATCTCTTTGGTCCATTGGCATAATTTCTTCTAATAATCCAACTGTTGTGCAGCGATGCTTTATCCATGTACATCACTGGAATAGAATGGAATGGAATCAAATGGAAAGGAAGGGAAGGGAAGAGGAGAGGAGAGAAGAGAGAAGAGAAAAGAGAATTCTTTATTGGCCAAGTGTGATTGGACATACAAGGGATTTGTCTTTGGTGCATATACTCTCAGTGTACATAAAGAAAAATAAAATAGAATACATTAATCAAGAACTGTTGTTGGATTATTCATTATTGCCACTTGTGTACATGGATGAAGCATTGCTGTGTGGTAGGAAAAATATAGGCAGTACAGTTAATGGGATAAATGGTCCCATGAGGAGAAATCAACAACAAAGGATTAATTTTGGTTGGCCTATCAATGCAAAGATTGCAAAGCTGGAAAGGAGAGAGAAAGATGAAGGGAACAAAAGTAATTCCTATCCTTGAATCTGTACTTCCTAAAATATGATAGTTATGGGGAAGCGAAGAGGAGAGACAATAAAGCGGGTGTAAAAAGCAAACAGAAAGATTATAGCATTGTGTATCCAACTGCTTCATATTGATCCAGAGTGTGCATTCCTTTCACCTTGGTGATTACCACTTTTGGGGCTTCTTTGAGAATGATCACCAAAAGGTATAAAGTACAGGTAGTCCTCAACTTACAATAGTTTGCTTAGTGACTGTTAAAAGTTACAATGGCACTGAAAACAGTGACTTATGACCATTTTCCACACTTACAACCATTGCAGAATCCATGTGATCACATGATTTACACTTGGATGCTTAGCAACTGATTCATATTTAGGACGGTTGCATGTGATCCCCTTTTGCAAACTTCTGACCAGCAAAGTCAATGGGGAAACCAGATTCACTTAACAACTATAGTGATTTATTTACTAACTTAACAACTGTGGCAAGAAAGGTCATAAAAAACTCACTTAACAATTTTCTCACTTAGCAACATAAATTTTGGGCTCAAGTGTGGTCATAAGTTGAGGACTACCTGTATATTAGATTCCTTACTTCTAAGTTTTAAAGAAGCGATGAAAGTCTTATAGTTCTATGTTTCTTTTAATTGAGAAGATGAGCATGCATTCAATTGTTTGTTACTTGAATGAATTTGTTCTACTGTGACATATATGATATATTTCAATCTGTAATGAGA